TGGACGTACTGGCACTTTAGCGATGGGTTTCTTGCGTAGTGCGTCACATAAGTAAAGTAGAAAAATAAGAAAGATAATCCGCTTAGAGGTCGGTAAAGAGGTCGGTAAGAAAGATAAAGGTCACGGAGTGGCGCCTATTGAAAACGTGCCACCGCTGGAGCACGGTGGTGATAATTGGCCTTTCTGGTTTTTTCTCCGATCTCCCTAGTCATTTTCTATCTGACGTGGCTTTGAAAATACCGGCTTATCCGCAAAAAATACGCAAAATAATCTTCTAAACTGGCCGCAAGTGCTCTGCATCCAATTTTGCATCCATTTGAAGCGCTATCTAGGCGGTCCGATAAAGATAGAGAGAGGGCGAGAGACAGAGAGAGAGAGCGTGAGAGAGCGAGAGAGACAAAGCGGAGAGACAGAGAGAGACAGAGAAAGACAAAGAGACTAAGAGAAATTAGCAAAGGCATGACCATTCGGGTGATAAATCGAGCAAACAGTAGACAGTTTTTCGCAGATTTTTCGGAGGATTCCGCAGATCGTACCTGAAAAAACCTGTACGTCCAACCACTTAACCGGGTAAGCGGGGTTCTGTTGCATAAAAGAACATCTCTTGGTATAAATATCCCAAACTTTCCTTTTTTCTTCTCACTCAAAACCATGCGCTTCGTCCTGTATTTTTATACTTTGGCCAGCGTCTTCACATTGGGTGCTTGCTTGAGGGGGTGAGCCTAAATCTTGTTTGTCTCAGGAGTCAAATGTTTACGAGTTTTTGTGCTTTTACGGTGTACATAGCCCATTTGATGGATCTTGAAGTTCTGAGAGGGATTCTGTTTCGAATATAATCCTTTTTCGATAAACACAGACCATCCCCTGGGGTAGGAAAGATGCGCTTTCGAGCGAGCGATATCGCGAACCCAACGCTTATCCCAAAATCCATGAAAAACTTTCTTTGTCGGGGGTGGGGCAGAAAGCCGGAGCCAGGCGGCTGGGATGGCAACGCTTGAAAAATTAATCGAATCACTAGGTTTTGAGCTACAGGTCCGTGAGGTAGCTCTTTGAAAAGCAGGGAAAATAGCTGTAGCTTTTTGAAGCGGGCTCCTCAATAAATTTGACAAACAGGTACGGAATCGGCGACAAATTCTGTGCCAGATCGGCTTGGTCCCGATTGGAATTTGCATCAAATGTGGAAACACTTTGCAGTGAAAACCACTCTTTGATCAAGGACTCGTGCTGGGACAACTCGGATTGCCGAGGAGCCGGCGCTTTTATTGTGACGCCACGACTAGACGCTGCCTACAAATCGTAGGCTTAAGGTCGGATACCACTAGAGTCGATCGCTTAAGGAGATCCTCGAGCCGGGTTATTATTGCGTTGTGGAACCAAGGCGACGATGCCAGTTCGGCTATTATTGCTGTGACGCGACGCATACGTGCCTGAGGGAGGGCGAAAAATGTGCATAAAGTTTTCATCATTTATTCCTCCAGACGTTCAAATATACCAACCGCTCCCCACATCCAAATTTACAAGATTTGGCTCTAACGTCTAGCAATTGCTGCTCCTTATACTTTCAGCAAGGCTTCTTCCTACTCAGTGGTAATGTCAAACACCTATACTTATACTTATACTGCTGGTCCTTGCTGTCCGGATGATCCCATCGGATCCAGAAGACCTGGGATGGCTGAACCAAGCGGTGGCGGGAAATGTCGACACAAACATCGAAGCACCGTTCCCAGAATATGTTGCGTTGAAGCTGCCCACAATGGATTTTGAGGTGCGGTTATTATTCTTGCAAAGTTCCTGCTGCCCCATTTTCAGTCGATAAATTGATATTTTTGATATGTTTTAATAGAAATTTTTAAAGTTTTCACGTTTATCAATAGTAAAAACCCTTTAGAATCACTTGCACCATTTATATTTGTATGTAAATATAGATACTAAAAAAGCTCTGCCCGCGATAATGCCTAAGAACCCCTTTTGCAGATACAAGACGAGGAATTCGACTAGCTGCTTGGGGTCTACGCACAAATGGTGGTCGAGGAATGGCTGCGTGGCGAGCGTCGAATCCGTTCGATCCGTGCGGTAGCTCATAAGTTCTTATGTTTGTTGCATGTTTTCCTAAAAGACAGTAACAACGTATTGAGATAGAAAATGCAAAAAAACCGATACCTAGCAAATACAGACTAGTCAACGTCAAAAATTAGTCACCCTACGTGCCAACGCGCGTTGCACCCCCAAAATAACCCTGATCAGCACGCCCACGCTGCAATAATGACCTCCCGAGAACCGGGGTGCAAAATAGAGCCCAAGTGTGTGGGCAGCGGGGTCGAAAAACGGCTTTTGGAGCGCCACAAAAATCCGATTTTAACGAGTCTTTGACCCTTTTTATTGTCGAGTTTGAGGGCCGAAAGTTCACATCAGTCCGTTGGCACGGGATGCCGAGGTACGCGTTGGTTTCGCTGTTTTTGGCTACGGTACTCGGGGCACCGACTTGTCCGAGTGGCAGCAAGGCGCTGGCCGGGCAGAACTATTGCGTGCAGTTTGTCGCTAAAAGTAAGTAGCTCTTTTAAGCGAATGAGCCGTTTAAATTGTCAAGTAGATTTTTAAACGAATATAGCTATTCTGAAGACGGAAAATACGATAACTACGATAATCTTACTCTTGAAATAGTTATAGATTACATTTTGATGCTTTTAAAATATACCGAATAAGGCAAATAGTTTGAAAACAATTATTAATCTTTAGATATGACCTGGGTGGACGCGCAGAAAAACTGCAAATCGTTGAAGGGACAACTAATCCAGCTTGCCAGTCCTGCGAGTGCTCAGGCTCTGCGCAAGGTTTTTCCAGGTAAGTTGAAACCAGCCTATTTTTATTTAAAAACTAAAAAAAGTAATTTAAATCCGGTGTTTATTTCCGTTAACTTGAAAAGCCTCATTTCAACCTGAGAATGTATCGATCAAATGAATCGATTTTACGCTCTAATGCGTTTCGTCGCTTTTGGACTTTAAAAATCGATACAATATAACCAAGTTAAAAGATTTACAATAGATATTTACCTTTCCGGCCCCTTTTTAAATTTACACCAGTTAATGCAATTTTTAGGAAGCAACCCGGCCTGGGTGGGCATTGTGGGCCTGCCTAGCGGTGCGATGCAATGGACAAACGGGACGGAGTGCACCTTTGTACACCTGTGTACGATATTAAGCTCAAGATATCGCATCTAATCAGTTTTAGCCCCCGATTTGGCGCTTGGAAATGGGCAGGCGTCGCTGGATCCCCTCCACGAGGCCGTCACAAAATGCGCATCAAAATTGAAGCCGCCGAAGACGCAGGGTTTTGACTGCGCGTAAGCGATCAGTTTGTAATTACTGTTCGCGCTTTATTGCCCAACCCACTAACTTTCTTTAACTCCGATATTTTATGCATTAAAGGGCTAGTTCAGCCAATAAAACAAAAGAATTTCCGCGGCCAGGAGTCGAACCCTCTCTGCGTTTTTGTGTCTGCACCTCTCTCATTTCTCCGATCTCTAATAGCTGTCGTAATGGGGGGACTGTTCGGGCGCACTGTGCCTACGTCCATAGTTTCCCAAGGTACCGGCCCAAGTAAAAGTTGAACTAGCCTCCCTAAACACCTAAAATGCTCAATTCAGGCCAATTGCAGCATTTCCGCCTTCTCGACGCTATTCCGGAACGTAGGAATTTGAAATCGCCATGATGTGTATACCATTCGAAAGCCCTTTAAACGCTGATTCTGGGGTGCTAGCGCGCCTAGCCGTCCTATCGCGCTCCTTCGCGCAATAGCTTTTTTTTTTTATATTTCTTTTTTTATATTTCAGCTTTTAAAGGTTATATTTCAGCTACGGACTCGCGGTCTACAAATGCTTCTTGACGCCCCTGAAAAAGCAAACGCCGACCCCCAAGCCGGATCAATTAGCATTCACACAACTGATGAGAATGAACGTAAGTTACCTGCACAACTTTTGCAGTATATTTTACGCCCAACAAAGCTTGATTCGAGCATTCCACCGTGTTAGTAAACCTCGGGTACTATTCAATTTGGGGGGCAAAAATTTTTTGGTCATTTTTGGGCTGCGTGGTCAGTTTTTCGCGACTAATCAAGCGCAATGCGCTACTCCTAAGCTCAACTAAATTCTAAATCAATTCAAATCTAAGTCCAGCCAAACGTAGCGAACCTTTGAAAAGCTAGGGTACCTCACCCCCGTCCAGAAGCTAAGCTAAACCTAAAGCTACGCGAAGCCAATACTAAGCTACGCTACGTATAAGCGCAAAGAAAAACTAAAAGAATAACCAAAAATACCCAAAAAATGACCTAAAAAATGTTCCCCCACCCAACTTGAATGGTACCAAACCACCTGATTTAGGCGTACGCCTATCCAGAAATCGGGAAAGACAAGGCCTGTCTGGCAAAGTGGAAGAAGGCCTTCTTCCCGAAAGCCGCGCCAAAATGTACGTTTTTCTTTCGTCGTTTCTCTTTTAGCTCTTATGAGGTTGTATAGCTCATAATTTTTGGATTCTTTAACCAGAGTCTATGATTTTTTTCAGTCAACAAGGAGATGCCGTACGTAGCTACCACGATGGATATGATGCACGGTTCTGAGTCGAAATACTCCGACTTGTACATGGCCGCCGCTACCAAGACTTACCCGTCAATTTGCCAGATCGATATGAAATAAACGCAGGGCTCTATTTACTTAACTTCCTTTATTCCGTTCTTTTCATTTATGCATAACCCTTCTTCTACACTCGTTTGGTATCAAGCGCTGCGCGTGCGGTGGCGTTGCGTGTCTCATTATCTCGACAGGGATATCATTAGTGTTCCTGGTTTCTTTTCGGGCATTCCTCCAATTTTTAAATATATTTTTATTGGCAAAATTCTAACACCAAAATACACACAATAAAATCTCGAGAATCACACACAAGAATCACATCACGTTTTTGAACCCATCAGTAGGAGGCAGTAGGAAGCGGTTTTTAGGGGGCGGCTTATCCATAGTTGGCTTGCCAGGCTTGCCATGCTGAAAAATGAAAATAATGATCATAACGCTTAATAGCACTGCAGGTGAACTCTATAATGTGTTTAAATGCAATTCCCACCTTCCACGACATATCGTTTGAACATGCCGTCGACGGCGCCGAACTGGTAGCCGACATTGAGGTGCTAAAATTAGGATTTTAGCCCTTTCCCAGCTACCGTACCTCATATGCCTCTTCGCCGAGGAACTGATTCAAATAGGGGTACACTGTGGCGTTGGGATATGTGTAGGCATATGTGAACGTTTCGCGGTTGAGTTGGACTGTGGTGGGGAAGGGGATTTGGCGGCCGATGCTGAAAAGAAGGTGGGAATGATAGTTTCTGACAACCATTTCCGATAGGTAATAAAAGAAATGAGAGAGAAAGAGAGAAAGAGAGAAAGAGAGAGAGAGAGCGAGTTAGGAAGAGAGAGAGAGCGAGAGCGAGAGGGATAGAAGAGAGAGAGGGATACTTACGCCGGCGACACGGCAATATCCACCACGAACGTCAACCGGTTGGCGTCGTAGCCGAAGGTATCGTTGTGGAAGAAGTATTCAACCGCTCTATAAATAGTTTTCAAAGTTTACAAGTTGTTAATTTGTATCTAAAGATGCCAAAACTAGTAGCCAAAGCTTCGATTATACAAGGAAAAGCACAATTCCGCAATACCTGACCGTCTACCCACTATTGATTACAACGTCTGCTATTAGATTTTTTAAGACATTCGCGACTATTCTTACCGGGCGAGATCACTGTCCACGTATCGAGAATAGTAAGACATCGTCTTCACGGCGTTCAGCAGATCGGCTTGAGTGTGGAAGGCGTTGAGATCCCACGAATAGCTAGCCATCACCTCCTAAAATACGCGGGTAATACCGTATGCAAGTGGTTTCCTTACAGTATAGCCGTAAGCAACGACGGCCAATCGACTCGTGGTGCCGAGGGTCGTGACTTGGTTCTGGATGAGGTCGACCAGGTAGTTTTGGACCTAAAATACTACATAGCCTTTTTGAGGGTCAACTCATGCCTGGGCAAATCCGGCGGTGCCGAGGGTGTTGTAATAATCGATCAAGAAAATGAAATCCGCTTGGACGTCATCGATATGAGGGAGCACGGGGTAGACCAGGTCTTCGTACCCTGAAAACGAGAGGAGTCTTAGAGAGCGAGTGCGATAGAGACAGAGTGAGAGCGAGAGCGAGGGAGAGACGGAGAGCGAGAAATAGAGAGAGAGAGAGAGAGAGAGAGAGAGAGAGAGAGAGAGAAAGATAGGGCTGCAGCGATATTCCTTACATTTGGTCATATCGTGCGAGATAACCCTGTCCGGCAAGCTACCGTCCACCAATGAAAGTGGATCCACAACGACCTAAAATAGATGCTATTTGGGTAAAATTTTTTTTTTTGTATCATAGTAACGTTAAGTAGTCAACAATTAAAAGACAAAAGTTTTCTTCTACTACCTACCGGGTACAGATTCTGCGATTTGCCGGTCAGGAATTGCTGCACAAAGTCTTTTCGGGAGCCAGTAAGGCCGACGGCGGCGACTCTGGCCTTTCGGCCGATTTTGAGGGCGTCGGCGATGGCAGCCGTGGTGTTGTAGTAGCTGGAAATTCAAATTACACCTTTAATTATACTTTTAATCTAGGTCAAACGGTGAATTTTGCACAAGGAACGTACTATTGAGCGCCAGTGAAAATGACAACATAGGTTGGACCGTTTCGCCATCCCTTCTCGGGCTGCAGGAAGAAGTCGTTGATTTGGCTGAGGGTACTGAAAGGGATTCAAAATTAAGTATTAATGATAGTAAGCACTGCGTATGCTATTCCCCTACGTTTTAGTACTACTTACGTAACGAGATCCGAGCTGGCAGAAGCGGACGACGAGATGTACTTGAGATTCTTGATCATATTCACAACAGTGTCAGTGTCGTTGTTGTCCATGAAGTGGAATCCTCCCTCGACGACCTGAATTTTGAGGATGACGGAATGTGTATATTTTTTTCATACCTGTCGAGCGCTGAAGGACTGAAGAGCGAATCGAGTACCGGTTCTAGAGATGTGGAACTTGCTGACGAAACCGGCGATGTAGGATTTGATCTGAAAAAGGCATAGACTTAGGCTTAGGTTAGAGAAACCTAAAGAGAGCGAGAGAGAGAGAGAGAGAGATCGACGAGTTAGAGAGGGTGAGAGAGAGCCGGCAAGCAACAAAATGTTACTTACCGCCTCGAAAGCTGCCGAATTCGCCAGCGCGGTCTGATCAACCGCAAAGGCCACATCAATCTGCACTTCAGCGAGTTGCATCTCGTGAGAAGCCCGGTAGTTTTCTTGGACTAAATAAGCTAGTAGATGAAAACAAAATCGGAATAAAACATGATCCCCAAAACCCACAGATAGCCATCGTGTCGAACCAGCGGCTCATGTTGTTCAGCCCGAATCCAGACGTCACCCAGTTGTTCAACTCCTTCGGGCTGGACATGCGGAAGACTTGGCGGCCATCGGTGACCAGCTGCTGCGAATAGTTGGCGGCGGGATTGGTGAGCAAGACATAGTTGGCGACGTTGGATTTGCCTTGGAGTTGGGCGGCCTTTTCGGCTCCGGTGACGCTGGAATCGATAAATTGAAGGAGTTCAAGTGTGGACAAACTCCTTCGAAAACTAAGAAGCGAGAAAATCAGCTTATAAAGCTCATTTAGGTTCGATAGCTACGCGACACTGCAAAATACAAACGTATGATGATGAACAACTTATCAAACTGGAAGACTAAAAAAAAAAACGTGTTTTTATGAGCGCTTGCACGCCTGATCTGGCGCGTTGCGTAGCTTTAATAGATTCAATGCAAAATACATGTGCTAACAAAGCTAGACAGTGCTTCAATTTTCTGCAAACTTCAGTAATTTTTGCGCGTTTCCACGTAATTTGGTGTGAAACGTAACCGTCGGGACCTAGTGGACCAGAGGGGTCGATTTCTTAGTTTCCAAGCCTCCTTATATCATAAAAAACGTAACTTAAATAAATTTAACTTACGTTGGTGACTGCGCGATATACGTGACGTGCGCCATTCTGTCAGTTTGATAGGTGACATTAAGGTATCCAGCGACCGCATCAATGGCAGCTCCAATGTTTACAAAAGTTGTATTGGCAGGCTGCTTGTATGCAAATTTGTTGTTCCACCAGGATTCGAAGTCCTGAAGGGATGGGTCAGTTTTAAACAACGTAATCCGTTTTTACGCTTTAATTTCCTATCGTAAGCTCGTGAAACCCACCGAGAATCGCCCACTCTGCGCCAGCACCTGATCCTGGACGACGTCCGAGTTGAATGGAACAATCCACAGCCGAACCTTGTTGTCTCCAAGTGTCAATTGGTGCACAAAGTTCAGGATAAACGTGCGAACGCTGTCGAAGACCCCATTCATCGCGTACGACTCGTCAACGATAAAGAAGAAGTCGGCGTAGAAGTTGGAGAGGGGCTGACGGTGGGCCCGGGTGAAGTATTCGATCATACGGGAGCCAAAGTTGTTCTGGCCCATGATGCCGTGGGTTTGGTCGTCCCAGTTGGGGAAGCCGTACGAGTCGGGGCCGTACAAGCTGAAAAACTGGGTTTTAAAAGTGAGTTAACTTGATATAAGGTCATGCATGGCGTTTATTGTGTAGTTTGCGTGCCCCATGTGTCGCTACACCTTTAAAACCATACCTGAGCTCATACGGGTCCATATTCGCACCCAAGTTGATGCCGAAAGTGCGGACCATAAGCTGCTGCATATGAACTAGGGCACGGGATGCGTTTGTCGTCGACCTAAGATTTATTTAATTATTTTGATTCCTGAAAACGCAACAAATCAAAACCATTTTCAAAAAAAATATCAGAAAAATTGCTAAAAATACGGTCCGATGAGTTTAAAGGGACCGTGACAACCGGAAGCTCGCGATTTGAGGTAAAAACCCACGATCCAGTGGTGAAGATGACCAAAATATTCTCCTTGGCCGGAATCCAGCCCTTCGTCAGGTTGTAAACATTGTTGGAAAGGTAGTCGAGAGCTCTAGAATTCCCTTAAATCACCAAAATTTTAATCCATACCCCGCCAAATCCCTGGTCTTTGTTTTCGGCTTGGTGATGGAGTACTCAAACTTGTTGACGATGCAATCGGCCAGGTCATAGTAGTTGTGGATCTAAAAAACATAGGTTCTTAAATCTTCAAAATCCCTTTAATAGTCAATATTTCCTCAAAAACCCACATCAGAAAACTGACAAGCCACGTTGACGGAATCGTCAAAAGTAGCAAGTGTAATTCTCGAGCCAGTGTCCCCAATGAACAGCTCGTCGAGCACGTAGCGATACATGAATTGGCGGAGCTGAAAAATGATACGGTAACTGGACCACAGTTTAAGAAAACCTGTTGGAAACCCTGATCAGTCATGGCGTTGGTTCCATCGTAGCTGGTGTCGACGAGGAAGGTGATGTCGGGCCAGACGGCTCTAGAATAGAGAGATAGAGAGGGAGAGAGGGAGAGAGAGAGAGAGCCAGTCATTCAGAATTACCTCGGTTTCGGTCGGGGAAGAGGAGCTGGAGTTGTCCTTGCCGTTGTCGTCGTGGGAGGCGTGCTTGGAGCTAAAGGTCAATTTCTATTGGGTTTTCAATTTATGAAAACGTACGATTTTTTACATAGCGCTGTAAAATTGCACGTCATTGTTTTTAATAACCTACGCAAGGTCGTCAAAGTTCTGCAAGCCGCTTTGGCCAGCGCCACGGCCAATCCCTTGGAGCTGCGAATGTAGAGTGGGTCGAGCTAAAAACAACTTTACAACCGGTTCTCTACCTTTGAAGCATTTTTCCCTGTCATTAACAAAGTCGTACCTCATTAATATCGGGGACAATAATCGGATTGCCATCAGAAACTGGAATTGGCGAGGCCAGCGTTCCGATTTGGATAGCTTCAGCGTACGCGGGCTGAAGGCGGTCAAGCATAGCACGGGCATTGGTGTAATCGGAAGAGCTAAAAATAGTTATAAATACGAAAAATAGATCCCGGAACAGACCTGAACGCGTCGGAGATGATGATGACGATGGTGGTGGCGAAGGGGCGGCCCCATTGTCGGTTATAGATGGATTGGTTGTAGACCCTGAATGAGGTTTTTAGAGCTTAATAACGCTTTCAAAGTGCTAAAATCAGGACAAAAATTGAATAAAGAGCCCCAAGACTTACTTCGACACATACGGCACCGTGCTGATCGTTGCGTTGTCGAGGACGTTTGAGACGATCTGGGCGTAACGGCTTGGAGAGTAGAGTTGAGTGAAGTCGGCTAGCTAAAGCGGGCTTAGGTGTAGGCTTAGGCTTAGGCCTACGCTGGTTACAGTCGTGCTGGAGTCCAAAGTCATCAAAGCCAAGTTCACGGTGCTGCTCTTCGTCAACGGCCTGTCGGAGAGGGAGCCACCAAATAGAGCCGGGAGCAGGAGCTGCGTGATGAAGTTGCGGACCTGAAAAATTGGAGTGAGGCCTATTAAGCTTAGGCTGCTGCTCGGGCTTGGCTTAGGCTTAGGCTTGGCTTGCCTGGCTTAGGCTTAGGCTGATTGTTTCATTTACCTTGGGCATGAGAGTTTGGTTGGCGTGGAAGGCAAGCTGGACGTCGATGTACTCGGAGCAGACCGGTGCTAAAGTTTGATTAAAAAAAGAATTACGACCGTATACTACTTACGAAAATCGGCAATATTCTGGCATGGCTGATTGGCGATGATCGAGTCCAGAACCGTGTCCAGCCTCTTGGCGATGGCCGCACCGTTGTTGATATCACTGTCGCCATCCTAGAAACAGATAAAAAATGTTTTCTGATTTCTATGTCATGCGTTACACTAAAAAAGCTCACTACTCCGAATAGCCGGAAAAAAAATCAAGAAAAATACCTTGATGAGAGCATTAGCGTTGAGCACCGGCTGGTTGGAGATGGCTTGCAAAATGGTGTTGTTTGTGACAAGACCCAGCATAACCGCTAAAACGATAAATTCTATGAAAGCTACGCCAAGATACCCTGGACGGCGGCCTTCTTCATCAACTCGTTGGCGATGGGTTGCGGATCATTGCAGCAGTTTGTCGAGTTACCATCGATGTACCTGAGGAGCGCAGGAGTAAGGAGAGAACGAGAGAGAGAGAGAGAGAGAGAGAGAGAGAGAGAGACAGAGAGAGAGCGACCGAAAAACTTACAATCCTCTCGCGATTAAAATGACGACCTGGTTGTTTCCGAAGTAGTTCTTCGAGATGATGTTGTTGGCAACGTTGAGGGCGCTGAAACAGATGATGTTGAAACTGAGAAAATTTAACAAATTCGTCTTTTTAAAACAGGAAAAGAATAAAAACAAACCCAGCCAAGTCGCTAGCTCCGCCATTCGGAATGCTGGCAGGGGTCAGCTTGTTGATCACCTCGACCGGATTGGTGCTCTAAAAGATTTAAGATTAACGTTAAACGTAGAAATTCCTCTAATCACTAAACAAAATAAATTGTAGCCTTACTGACCTGGCTGACCAGAGTGCCGGTGACTTCCGGTGCGGAGAAGTAGACAACGGACAGGCGGCCCTAAAAAATCGAGTTAGTCTCTCTCCCTCTCTCTCTCCCTCTCTCTCTCTCTCTCTCTCTCTCTCTCTCTCTCTCTCTCTCTCTCTCTCGCTCTCTAGCTCTCTAGCTCTCTCTCGCTTTATCCCACTCGTTCTCGGGTTTCTCTCGCTTTTTCTCTTTCTGTCTCTCTCTCTCTCTCTCTCTCTCTCTCTCTCTCTCTCCCTATTTCCCTTACCGTGTACGTCCCAATTGATCCGGAATAATAGTTAATGGCCGCCTTGATCGCCTCCAGCTCCATGCCCTTGTAGTCGATCTGCGAGTACGACGACTCAAGAATAAAGGTAAAATCGGTGTAGCACGATGTGCTAGGAGTCGGCTGGCTTCCATGACAATCGATCGAAGCCACAGTATCCTGAGGTGAAGTGGCGAGCAGGTAATCGGTGGTGTTGGCGCGGATATAGCGAGCAGGGGTGTAGCCGTCGGGGCTGCCAACGCCGATGGCTTGCTAAAATTGAGACATTGGGCCCCCTCAGCGTCTAGGTACCTTAATCAAGCTCTCGCGGTATGGGTTCGGGTTCAAGCCGAAGCCAAGGATTTCGGCCTTGTATTGGTTGCGCAACTTGGTGGTGATGGGGAGGACGCTGTTCATGCTGTTGGCAAGTTGGTCACTGGAAATTGAAATTATAGTTATAGTTGACGCCGGGATAACTGGCTGTTATTAAGTCGAACCCTATGCATAAGCCTAAGCCTAAGCCTAAGCATAAGCCGCAGCCTTAGCCGAACCAAAGCTTGGCCAGCCTAACTTACCCATCCGTAAGGAAGATCACAAACGGCAACACTGTCGAGTCGTTCTGCTGCCGTCCATAAGTAGCGAGGATGTTGATGACCTCGTTCAACCCCACGGTATAATCAACGACATCCGTGGTCCTGGCAATACCCTTCAGCGCCGCCTCCAACCCAGTGAGATCCAAAAATCCGCTGCTATTGTAGGAAGAGTACACGATTCGCTTGTTGAAGCTGACGAGGGCAAAGCGGGCGCTGCTCTGGTACTTCAGCACTTGGCGGGCCGTGTTGTCGACGTAGGTCAACACCTTGTCGAACCACAGGTCGAGCATGGACTGGGACTCGTCGACGAGGAATACCATGTCGACCGGGCAGTTTGCGTCTGAAAGGTGGGAGATTGTTCGGGAAAATGTGAAAGTCAGCCTTTCCAAAACGCGAATTTTGAAGTTCTGGTCTTGGAAAACGCGCATTTTGAAATTCTCGTTTTCGAAATCCTGTTTTTCAAGGTACGCGTGTTCAAAAACGACCTTGCCAAATCGTCATTTTCCAAAAAACAGCGATTTAGTAAAATATTTTTGCCAAAATGTCTATGAGAATCGTTTGAGACGTTATTTTACAACGAAGCCCTACGCCAAGAAGCTCAAACCGGCCGCTGAAACCTACAAGGGGTCGTTGGAGCCGGGGTGGTCGTCGCCGTAACCACCGTCGTGGGTGGAGCCGTGGACAGCTCGAGAGGTACTCGAGTAGGTTGGGTGGTGATTGGCGCAGGAGTCGGGTAATAGGCTAAAACAAGTTCTTCGCATGGCCATCTACCAATTACCGTTGCAAATCCAGTAACTGGTCGAGGCCAACGTGCCGCGGTTGATCAACCAGCTGAGGTCGTCTAGCGGATAGTATCGGAATTGATCGGAGGCGATGGATTGGAGGATGGATTGACCCTAAAGATGTGTACTCCTTGAAGTTGTGCGTTTGTAGTTGCGAATTTTTGATTTTTTTTTGCTTACCTTCAGCGAAGTGGTGGAACTGACAATCGAGATGGTGAAATACTCGCTCTTCAGCTGGGCAGCGGCATCGTAGGCCATCTGGGTGTTGGACTGGTCGAAGCCGTCGGTGATGGCGATGATGGCACGGGAGGTGCCGACGGGGAGCTGCTTGCCCAGGCTTTCTTGGACGTAGTTTAGACCGCTGAAAAAAAAATAAAGTAAGTTCTCTCTCGCTCTCTCTCTCTCTCCTTCCCTTCCTCTACTCCCAACTTACTGCGCCAAGTTGTGCGAATCGATCATGTTCACGTTCAGCGACGTGTTCAGGTACTGCACGGCCGTATTCCAGGCAGCGCGGCTAGTCACTGGTGAGCTTCCGACAGTATACGCAGCGTATCCGTAGTAGGGCACCAAATAGAATTGCACGTTCGTCCAGTTTCCGGTGGACGGGAGGTTGACGTAGGTGGGCAGATTCTGGAGGTAGTTCTGCAGCTGGGTGACCTTGGTGGTGTAGTTTCCATTTTGGGGGACGGCCATGTCGACGAGGAAGACGACAGCGACGTTCTTAGCGGAAGCATCGCACCAAGCGCCTCCGGGTTTGGTGGTCGTGCTCCCATAGTTCGGTTGGGTGGTAGGGGCCTGGAATTGGCAGAGTTGGAGAGCTAGGGAAAGTGAGCGAGAGAGGGCGAGAGAGGGGAGGGAGAGAGTTAGAGAGAAGAACCTTAGTGGCATTTAACGTACCATGGAAGTGCTGGGCGTAACAACGTTCGGAGGAACAATCGGATTTCCGTGACATTGAGCCAAGGGCGTTCCGAAAACGACGGCGCCATTTAGAGCCTTGTCCAAAACGCCTCCAATCGTCGTAATCGACTGCGTATCAACAACCTCCGAATAGATCAACGTCGTGAAGGCGACCACGGTGATGGTGGTGGTTTGGGAGTAGTCAGCTCTGAAACATAATTTAAGGGTATTCGGCCAGTTCCTGAGCAGGCTTCATTGGCCCGTGGAGTCTCTATTTAAAAACTCACGTGAACCCAGACACAATCACATTTTTCGGGACTTGCGAAGTCAAAAATATATGTGCAACAGAGGCTGGGCCAAGGGCTTTGTTGATCTGGAAAATGGAAATTAAAATCTTTGCATCGAAACTATAGTTAATTTTGTTGTTTTCTCCTTGCTGTAGGCCGGGCAGACGCCTCAGAGAACGAGCACCTGAGCAGAGAACACTCAACGATGGGGGGGGGGGCAAAGTTTGAGTGCGAAAGAGAGCCAGCTGACCGCTGCGCTGTCGCCAAAAATCCAGCTTGTCTGTGATTTCTCTGCTCGTCTGGGTCAGCGTCAGCCAAGCGACGCATTTTCGGATCTCAAGTTCTAAACTGTTTTGAGCAAGGTACGTAAATGTTTTTTTTTTGACTTCTAGAATGTTAGGAAAATTTCGGCGCTTTCATTTCTATCAAAAAATTTCCTATATTCTTTAGAGCTAATACTCACCGCGGCCTGTACAAGAGCTGCAGCAGCCTTAAATTGTGCGGTTGTCGGATCAGCCAGTGCCGGGTCCCAGGTGATATCTGTGTGTCGCGTTGAGGCGTAGATCGGGTTGATTTGGGAGTAGTCAATCGGGGGAGCTGTTTGAGGTGCAGGTGTCGTTGAGTCTCCGCCACCACCTCCTGAAAAAAGGCATAAAAATTAACACAAAATATTTTCTCTCTTTTGTACTAATAGTAATTTACTATACTTTAGGTTTTGCTACGGATTTTACAGTTCGACACGCAATCATTGCTTTTTCGCGTCCATTCTATTTGCACAATGATTTCCATTTCGCAACTACTTACTCATTTGCATATTTTCTGCTGTTCTGTTTCTACGAAAAAATTAGAGTATTTTTGAGCCGTCCTCGCGATGCGCCACTCCCTCGTGACCTGCTTGCGCAAGTCGACGTCCGCCCGAAACGTCGTCAACGGGCAATGGGCCACCACGCACTATAGTGTCAAGGTACGGTGGATGAACTTGGCTACTTGCACCGGATCTCGATAAATAAAGGATCTTTAGGACCGCTCGAAGGACCCGCGCTGGAAGGACATCCCGATGAAGCGCGAGTCGGACCAGTACGACGTGGTGATTGTGGGTGGAGGTAGAGCATTCTTCAAACGCGACGAAATCTGAGTTTTTTAGGGCCCTCCGGCCTCTCCGCGGCCATCCGACTTCGGCAACTTGCGGAGAAGGAGGGAAAGGGTACAATTTTTGGTATCAGAGTCATAATCATCTACCGAAACCGTTATGATTAGGATATTTCAGAACTCCGCGTCTGTGTCGTCGAAAAAGCCGCTGAACTTGGCGCTCACACCCTTTCCGGTGCTGTCATCGAAACCCGAGCCCTGGATGAGCTGCTCCCGAATTGGAAGGAGTTGGACAGCCCGGTGAAGCAGAAGGTTACGGTGGGAAATTTTCGCACGACGGTGTCACCCTAATTCTAGTCCGAATCGATCGCCATTCTCACCGAAACCGGCCGAATTCCGGTCCCGGTTTTCCCGGGTGTTCCGTTGTACAACATCGGTATGGGTTTTGTGAGTAGCGGGTGACCCCTAACTTTAGGAAATTACGTTGTACGCCTCGGTCACGTCGTCAACTGGTTGGGTCAGGTGGCCGAGCAGCAGGGCGTTGAGATCTACCCGGGATATGCTGCTTCGGAGGTGAAATGAAGCCTCACTCTCCCTCGCTCTCTCTATCTTTCTCTCTTTCCCTCTCTCCCTCTCTCCCTCTCTCTCTCTCACTCTCTCTCTCTCTCTCTCTCTCTCTCTCTCTCTCTCTCTCTCTCTCTCGCTCTTCAAACTTTGAGAAATTAGGTCCTCTACAATGAAGACGGAAGCGTCAAGGGAATTGCCACCAACGATGTTGGGATTGGGAAGGATGGTGCTCCAAAGGTCTAATTGAGCATGAACTCTATAATGTAATCCATAACTCCTAGGAGGGCTTCGAGCGCGGCATGGAGCTCCACGCCAAGTGCACCATTTTTGCCGAGGGTTGTCGTGGGCATTTGACGAAGCAGGTGAGCTGTATCTCTCTGCCTCTCTCTACCTGCTTTTCAGGTCACCGACCGCTTCAAGCTGCAAACCCATCCGATGTCCTACGGCCTCGGCATCAAGGAACTGTGGCAAATCGACCCGGCCAAGCATCGCCCCGGCTACATTGAGCACACGATGGGATGGCCGATGGTTAGAATTTGACCTTTCGAGCACCATTAAAGGGTCAGTAAAGCCTGGAAAACGCCTTTTATAGTCTTCCGACAGCTACGGTGGCTCCTTCCTTTACCACATCGAGGATAATGGCCAGCCACTCGTCTCGATCGGCTTCATTGTTGCCCTCGACTATAAGAACCCCTACATGAATCCGTATCAGGCAGGTTCTTTCTCCCTCACTCACTCGCTTTCTCTCTTTCTCTCTCTCTCTCTCTCTCTCTCTCTCTCTCTCTCTAAAAACGCTCTCCAGGAGTTCCAACGCTACAAACTTCACCCCTCCATCCGCTCCCAACTCGAGGGCGGACAGCGTATCGGCTACGGAGCCCGTGCCATCAATGAGGGCGGCTACCAAGGAGTCCCGAAGCTCTCGTTCCCGGGTAGAACATCAAAATTTAACGCCTTGAACTCGTCCTCCAGGCGGCTGCCTCGTCGGCTGCACGGCCGGCCTGCTCAACGTGGCCAAGCTGAAGGGCACCCATAACGCCATGAAAAGCGGCATGGTGGCCGCGGAGAGCATCTACAAGGAGATTGGCACGAATCCGGAGAAGAGCAGTAGGGCGTTCGGGTAGATGATCAAACCTTGGTGCTTAGGCATCGAGCCGGCCTCCTACCCAAAAGCTCTGGAAGACACGTACGTGATGAAGGAGCTGAGGGCAACAAGGAACGTGCGGCCCTCGTTTAATACTTCTTTGGGTAGAGAATATACAAATTCCCGACTTAATAAGCCCAGGATACCTCGGCGGCCTGGCCTACACCGGCCTCTTCTACGTGCTCGGCCGCGGCCTCGAACCCTGGACCCTCGACCATGGCAAGCCGGACAACGAGAAGCTGCTCCCGAAGGACAAGGCGAAGGTAGATGAACACAAGGAGCAAGAACGCTTCCCTAGCCCATCGACTACAACAAGAAGGCCGACAACAAGCTGACATTCGACCTGCTGAACTCGGTGTCGCTCACCGGCACCAATCACCAGGAGGACCAGCCGAGCCACTTGACGCTCAAGGTGCTGTGAAGGAATTTAATTACGAGCATTAATGATAGGCTAGATGCTTGGCGATGAAGAGATTCGAATCGCCTGAATTTTTACCTCAATTTCGAGACGTTCAGCAGCAATAGCAGAGCATTAATGCTAGGACACTATCTCGACGCTCATAACTACCCAACTGTGCCCCCCCACAAGTTCAGTCGGTTCAGAAAAAAAGGACAATATTTCAATTTCTAGGATGACAAAGCCCCGCTCGACATCAACCTCAAGCAGTTTGACGGCCCCGAGTCGCGTTTTGCCCTGCTGGTCAGTTTTTCGGGTTTACGATTAGCTGAATTTTTAGGTGTCTACGAATTCGTGCCCTCGGAAACGGCCTCCGACCAGATGCGCCTCCAGATCAACGCCCAGAATTGCATCCACTGCAAGACGTGCGACATCAAGGTACGCTTACGAGCTTGGCTTTCGTGCTTAGCTTAGGAACTTGGCTTGCGAGCTTGGTCTTGAACGTAGTTTTCTTGCTTGGCTTTGAGGGTGCTTTTCGAGCTTGCTTTTCGAGCTTAGCTCCCCGCTTTCCAGCTTATCCAACTTGTTCACCCGATTTTCCGATTTAGGACCCCTCGCAGAACATCAACTGGGTGACGCCGCAGGGCGGTGAAGGGCCAAAGTACGACGGGATGTGAATCGAAGCGCTTTTAATTTACCGTTTTTTGCGTCAATTTATATCGCCTCACTGCCATGCTTGTGCACATTTTTTGCTATGAACCTCTTCGTGTTGTGCTCCCGTTTTCGATTATGCTGCTTTGTACTGAACAAGCTAATGCCGGTTGCCCTCGGGCTTTAATAAAGATTTTGTGATTTTGCTGTTTTAAAGGGCTGCATCCTAATTTTTCGACTCTTTGTTTTTCCTTTTCTTGAAAGTTTTTTCTGGGTTCTGTTCGGGAACTCTTAAGGACCAAACCCTACGAAAAATCGTTCTTTTCCGCCGCTTGAAGATTTTTTTGGTACACTACACGTATTTCCAAAAATTCGGAAACCGATTATCGATTGGTCTGCGTTTTTGGACCCCTATCGTATTTTTAGGGAGTTGCGTGGGATGGCGGCTAGCCCGCAGAAATATACTACCAGTGGCCGAATTTGATAAGCGGCGGTCCGTGGCTCCGAAAATGACGGCGTTTAGTGTAAAAAAAGGACAAAAGAACAAAACTTTAATAGCTTCTTGACGCGATTTTTGGGCGATCTAATTAAAAATAGAAAGCTCCCACTAAAAAAACAAGAAGGGGTTACGGTAAGGGTGAAAAGCATGGTAATGTAGTAATTACACGAACCTGGACAATCCTTCGTCTGCTTCGACTTGTGTATCCCAACGCCGAGCATCACCGACCCGGCGATGAGAAAGACGAGGGCTATCGCCAGCAGGATGATCGTGATCAACCGTTCACGCTCCATCCTGGCGTGTGGGGTGACCCGGATCCGGGGGACTGGCCCTGGAAAAATTTGAATTTGGAGCGAGCTGATTCCTTTGGCTCGGAATCAGAAAAATGCGACACCACGCATATTCCGCGAAAAGTGGAGGAGCCTTAAATGTATCGTAGAGCAGTGGGTAGCATTGGTAATCAGGATTTAGCCGTTCTTTTGGAGAAAAATGGGTTTTTATGCGGTTCTATACGGTCATGCGACGCGCGCGGAGAAGCTGAACTGCTCGAAATCGTTGCGGCACCGAGGCTTTAGCGCATAATTGGAATTTATCCCTGGAATGTCTAGTTTTTACTTTCGGAATCGCTGAAAAATAACTGAAATCTCAGAATCTCATTAAAAATTTCTGTCTCGAGATACACATCATGGCGCTGTTTAGGGCAAGATGCCAGCAATATGATCATATTTTTCGTTAATCCAGGGTTTCTAGCAAGTTTTAGGCTCGAAAATTAAGCCTAACAGCAGCCCAATAAGCCGTCATAATTCCATAGTAAGCCCCGCGGGGGCTTATCAGCCTAAAAATCGCCCGAGAAAAGCCAATGTGTAAGCCGGCGGCCGAAGACACTGGCAATCCGATTGGGGCTTGTGTGGGGGCTGCCACTTTCTGGGTGGGAGTACTGATAGCGGTTGATGAGTCAAGCCGCAGAAGTGGGACCTGGAAGAACAGGGAAAATGATGATTTTGCGGTGATATCTGCACCGGAAATTCTTTTTGGCTTCTTGCTTGCTGGAAGTTTGGAGACGCTTTGTCGTAAAGGAGGCGCCATGTGGGTCTTTGAAAGTTGGTGGTAGTGATTAGTACTGTAGAGAATTTGCGTGGGTTTTATTGACCAGACCAGCGATTGGCCGGAGTGGTTTTCCATTTTTAAAGTTTTCCCCACCTGGAAACAGATAGGTAATTTTTTTGCTCTACTATTATTTTCGGTATGAAACTTTTCTTTTTCGCCATTGTAAGATCCGTTAAAGCTACTAGGAAGCGCAAAAATCGGGTCTTGGTGGCGATAAATTGACAAGACAAACTTATGCTAATTTCGAGAAATCCAAAAGCTCTCTCGCGTGTATTTTGGCGTGGCGCGGTACTGTCGAGACCCAGTCGACTAAAAGGGTGGATTTTGGCATTACCTAGCTTCATGAATTCAAGAAATAATATCCAAGCCATACCCGTTGTCTCAACCCAAAGATATCTCAATTAGCGCGCTCTCTCTCTGGCTCTCTCTCTCTCTCTCGCTCTCTCTGACCATCTCTCGCTTTTCATCCAGCTGCAGATTTTGCAACCTCGACTTCATGAATCATCCCCACGCCGATCTAACCCAAGATTACCCAACCCTGCGATTACACGTATTTTCTGAATCCTGATTCCATTCCATTGAATCAGACACCTTTTTCTATTTGTGCGCCCCCAAATAATGGCATCTGAAATCGACGCCTAGTCAAGTTTTACGGCCCCCCATGCCCGATACGATTGCAATTATTTTGGAGGTGTGTGGGTTTACTCATTGTCCGCAACGGGATGCTGTTTGGTGGTGGAGGGGTGTTTGTATAGTGGCCTGGGCATTGGGGAAATAGCTTTTTTTGTTTCTTTCTGCGTTCCCAAGTCTAATCCTAAGCCTAAGCCTAAGCTGGGCCTGGGCCTAAGACCAAGCCAAGCCTAAGCCTAAGCCTGCCTAAGCCTAAGCCTAAGCCTAAGCCTAAGCCTAAGCCTAAGTCTAAGCCTAAGCCTAAGCTGGGCCTGAGCCTAAGCCTAAGCCAAGTCTAAGCCTAAGCCTAAGCCTAAGCCTAAGCCTAAGCTGGGCCTGAGCCTAAGCCGAGCCAAGTCTAAGCCTAAGCCTAAGCCTAAGCCTAAGCCTAAGCCTAAGCCTAACCTAAACCTAAGCCTAAGCCTAAGCCTAACCTAAGCCTAAGCCTAAGCCTGCTTAAGCCTGCCTAAGCCTAGCCTAAGCGTAAGCCTAAGCCTAAGCCTAAGCCTAAGCCTAAGCCTAACCTAAACCTAAGCCTAAGCCTAAGCCTAACCTAAGCCTAAGCCTAAGCCTAAGCCTAAGCTTAAGCCTAAGCCTAAGCCTAAGCGTAAGCCTAAGCCTAAGCCTAAGCCTAAGCCTAAGCCTAAGCCTAAGCCTAACCTAAACCTAAGCCTAAGCCTAAGCCTAACCTAAGCCTAAGCCTACGCCAAGCCTAAGCCCTGTCCAGCACCAAAATCCAATATATCCCTGCGAGCCAGACAAGCAGTGGCCATTTTTGGCTTGTTCCCCCCGACTTGCATCACCTCTTCGACTCCCGGCTTTCCGACTGATAATTTGCTAGTGAGCCCCGAATTTACAACTGCTCCTGGAAGCAGAAAGCAGAATCATGCCAGGGATCTGACCGGGCCTTTTTCAGCTCCGGGGATCTTACCTATACAAGAAAAGCGCCATTTTTGGCGGCCGGGCTAAAACTTATGCGGGTGTTTCCACGTTTATTTTATCGATAGTTTACTACTACTACTAATTTTATAAATATAGTTTTTTTTTAATTCCATAGATAAACCCGTTTATTCGAAAAGACCGCGGAAGCGTGCTGTGTGTGCGTTTGTAATTTTTGCTCCCGCTTGTTCGGTTGCCTCCAGATTTTATGGGTCATTTCGGTGGCGACTGCCGGCGGGCGCGTTTCGTTGCCGCTTATCGCAGTTGAGCAGCCTGAAAAATGCGGTGTTAATTGGCAAGTTACGGAAAGTAGGGCGGGCCTAGCAGAACGATGCGGACCAAAAATGGTCAAGACGCTTTGCAGAATTCGCAAAGGTGTCAAGTGGGGGCGAAACGTTGCCCCACGCTACGTTAAGCGTCTCTTTACACCTAAGAACCTACGATTTCTCCCGGATCTGGATAGCTCGCGAGCAACCCTGGAAATATGGCCACTGCAGAGGCGATGAGTCGAAGATAAAATCCCTGGAATTAAATATATAAAAATTTACGGCAAAACCGTACCATTGACTCTCGTTGCGGTGTCTGCAACCAAATTCGGCACTCCCCAAATCTTCCAAAATCCCAAAATCGTAGTAAAGAATCATCTCTGGACTGCGCCGAATAGTGGAGTTGAACTGGATTTGGGTGGAGACGGCCTAAAAATAAAAATCTGAGAGAGAGAGAGAGAGAGTGAGAGAGAGAGAGGGAGAGAGCGAGAGAGAGAGAGAGAGAGCAAGAGAAAGAGAAAGAGATGGAGAGAAAGAGTGAGTGAGAGAGAGAACCAACGAGCATCTGCTTGTTCGCAATGATATGCCGAGTCTGCCAAGCACCGGCCAATCTTCGCGTCAATCCAAATCCTAAAAAATAATCAATAAAGTTAGGCTGCCAAAGGTAATACCCATATTCCTATTCTCCCACAACGGCTTGCAAAACTTTGCGCGGCGCTTAGGATTGCCAAAAATTGGCCCCGGCTCTATTGAAGCGAGGATGGATCGTGTTGGGGTGTCAATGAAAATGCAAATCTGAAAACGAAAAGTTTGATTTTACAAAAATTTTGTTGTCGAAGACATCACAGGCTGAAAAACATGATCATTGCGTCGAAAACCCACCTGGCTGACTTCCGGAGGTAGTTGATTGTTCCCAATTAAATGCACTGAGCTGATTAGCGTGAAATTCAATGAAAGTAGGAGCGTGGTGAGAATAAGTGAGAAGTAGAAAATGAAGTAGTGATACCCGTGCGACATGTATCTGAAATTAATCGGATGTCGATTTTTTTCCACGTTCCCCAGGTTCCCAGTTTTTTAAGGCTAAACTGTCTTTTGAGGGCTATTTATAAAATTTAAGACTTAATCGGTCAAAAGGTTAAATTTTTAATTTTTCGGTGGTTAACCAGTGTCGGTGGTCAGTTAAAAATGTGGTTTTTCTCGTTTAAATTGCTACCAAAGAGATGTTTTCTATAAACTTCGATGAAATTTTTCGCAACGTACCTTACAATACTCCTCGAAAATCGATGCCTGTTGTGAAAGCTATTTTTTCGACAAGTATAGTGATAAAGGCAGGGCGCACAAAGCACGACCATGAATCCTAAGTACAAAAATATCGTTAAAAGGGAGCAGCCGATCGATTTGAAGATGGCTTTCACCGCGGTTATTGCCTAAAATTTGTTTTCATAAAATTCCTGAAATCCGGTACTTTTTCCAGCTCAGGATTCCGTTTCTTGCCAATCACATTTTTTGACAAATCAAACCGGACTTGCCGCTTCTGGAAAAT